AAATGTCCAATAAATTATTTTAATTGTTTATCATTCAATGTTGTGATATTAGCTTCTTGTAATTTCTAATCACTATGCATGATACGTAAGTACTGCATCAACTAATTGAGCATGCATTGCACATACCTCTACAAGTTTGAAACTGCCAACCCCCACAAGGTGCATGCAATATGACCACCGACTTGCATGCCTCATCATTGCATCGCACATAATAAAATTGACTTCAATGCAACATCAACAATCATGCATGCAACTTCGTATGCCAATCAAAGTTGTCTATATGTTAGAAGTTTAAAAGTAAAATGTTAATATTTTTATGCATCAAATTATAGATTTACATTATATATTTAGTGCCTTTGATGATACCCACTAGACCATCGATATAACTAAAGATGTAGAAAATTGTTCTGGATGGAATGTAAGGAGACAACAATGTACTTAGGTGACCGGCCATGAGCATGATCAAATGCATATGGGTAACAAGATTGCAGCATCGAGCAATATAAATTTGGAATCAAGTGTGCTCTATAATTGTATGCCATGTGAGAAAAAAAATGAACTCACTATTTTCCTTGAAAACCATCCTTAATGGATGGCTATGTTAGTGTAAATGATGGTAGCTTGTTTTCTTGGATGATTGAGATGGAGCACAAGCAATCAAGAGTTTAGGGTTATAATTACTCAAATAAGATAAAGAGAAAACATAAAGTGAGAACATAAGACATATTTTACGAGTTCATTTTGAAGGGCAATGTTCATTTTTCGAATGACCAAAAGATAATATACATTATTTATAACTATATGAGTACAACAAGGGAGTGGCATATCTTAGGAGGAAATGTGGAGAGCCCCGAATATAGAAAAGAAAGAGTGGAGAACTGAGAATTTCCAAAAAAAAAAAAAGACTGAGAAATTACATTAAAGATAAAAATATAGGGAGAAGATATTACATCCGGAGCAAAAAATGATAGAGAGAAAGATATTGATGGAACTTGGGTATCTAATGGATTGGGATAATTTAACTAAGAACCTTGATGAGCATGAAAATACTAGTAGTGCAATCATTAAACTTGAACAACTTGGATACTTCATTAAACTTGTATTGTAGACATATTTTTTATCACATTTTATTCCCATAATACCCCTCTTTTTAAAAAATAATTTCCAAACCTTTTCCAATTCTTTTTCATAGTAGCCAATTTCTATTAAGAGGGAGGGCTAGAAGAGGGTGATAGAGAAAGAAATAGAAAAATAAGAGGCCATAATGATCAATTTATGAGTTGGGGCAACCAAAGAAATCATTCATTGTGAAAAAGAATATTAATCCATTATCTCAATGTTATTTATTTCTCTTCTCGTGTGTTTTCTCAAATTTTCTTGCATGGATTTAATAGAATGAGTATTTCGCAATGTACTAATTCAACAAAGCTAATTTTGATTTTTTTCCACCTTTGCATTTCTACAAATTTTAGTTCTTAAAAAACTACATCTTATAAACTATGCATTATACACAATTATATGATGATTCAAGTTATGTGAAGTTCTCTTTATCAAGTATAGAGTTGTCAATTATGATATTATCTATTGTTCTCCTTATAACATATAATATTAATGTTGGAAAACTTGAAGGGTACAACAACAAGGCCAAAAGTAATTTTATCCACCAATAATATATTTTTCATACAAATAATGTAAGGCAATTAGGCCTTGATGGCATATATGAAATTGACATATAATAGAATGTATGTTGTTGCACAAGTATAAGTATGCTTATTAAAAGTTGATGCCAAATTACCCAAAGCATGCTATTCAACAGTTGTTTTCTTCTTATTATACTATTTCTACTACATTCCTAATTGTGAGAATTGTAATTCCCTGGTTTACTTATCTAGCTATTAACTTGCTATCAGTTATGATAAATCTTGATGATATAATACTTCTTTATTTGTATTAAGAGTATTTATTATATAAATCTTTCCATGACATCATTTGAAATCAAGTTGTATATATATCATATGACATTCATGATTTGACTAACAGAAAAAAGTCTCATCACTTCTTTCAATTTTTTCATCCAATTTTCTAACAAACATATATAGTTACATGATATTCAAATCAAAGGACTTTCACTTTAGATGTGTTCTAATACACTCTTTGATATACGGTGTTAATGATCATGCTATTTATTGTTCTATATGTGGCATTCATGAAACATATGTCATATACATAGAATGCATTTTATCCAACTATGATGGTTTACTTTACATGTCTACATATGCTTAAAGTCATGACAATCAACAAAGCATTATAGATAAATTTGGTTTTGAGAGCTTCAATGTGAGCAAGCCCGAGTTACTTTTTAGATCCCTATTGTAATCTTAGAAAAATGAATCATCGGCTCGTAGGTTTTCTTTCTTTTTTTCTTGTAGCTCTTTTGAGCATTAGAGAGCTGAAGGATCCTTCTAAGGACTATGTAACCGAAATTTTGAAATTAACACGTAGGCCCCTCAGTGGATTTTAACAAAAAAAAATCTTAATTATATTGTTCCACAAAAAATATTATGCACTTTACATGTTGTTGAATGTAATCCTACTAAATTTTGCATCTTCAAGCAGATATCTTCATGTAAATAAATGATTCATATATGATCATATCTACATATGATACAAATTGTAAACAACCTTTGATGTATACTTTTAGAAAGGAAATGCTATCTTGTAGATGTTGGATATACAATGCAATGAGATTTTTTTAGACCATTTAGATACAAAATATTATTTCCTTAAGTTTCAAAGAGAAAGTCTAGTGAAATATGTGGGATGCAAGAAGTATTTAATAAGAAACACTTATCCTTACATAGTGTCTCTAGCATTTGAAAGAAGTGGGTTTTTTTGCTTGAGATGCCTACATCATTTTTTGGGTCAAAATTAAAGGTAGATAATGATAGCTATAATAACATTACATAACTATACATGCAGCAATCCATCTCAACATGCCATAATTAAATCTTTATGATGTAATCATTCATACAAATCACTTGAGGTATTTATACAAGTATCAAATTGGGCCATCTATGATATATATTAAATAGAATGAAGTAAAGTGAATTGCAAATTGGAGAATATGCTAAGAAAAGAACATAACTAAGAGAACAAATAAAATTTTATATTTTTAGCGAGGAGAATAATTAGTTTAAAAAGTATAAGAAAATGGATTACTTAATCTATATTTAACATATTTACAAGTATATTGCATGCTATGTAGTACTATTCTTAAAATTTATCAAATTATGATTGTTTCTTAAAGTAGCTTTCTTAAAAATTTTATGCTAGAAAGTTGCTTTAAGAAGCAATAACAAAAATGCCTCAAACAAAACCTTAATCACATACAACATCACAACAACTTGATAGATATTGGACTTTCTAAATAATTGAGATTTCTTAGGCAACAACAACTTCAAGTAGCATCTTATTCTGTGGTGATAGATGCAATTGTACCAAATAGCCCATTGTACAAATGCAAAAAAAAAAGTATACAAATAAAATTAAGAAGATAGCACTAAATCTACGTGATTATCATCTCATAACCAAAGCAAATGGAGAGTGTGTTGGCTAGATTAGTGCAATTCGATTAAGAACTACATAAGTAGATTAAAATGTTCAATATTGAAAATCGACGATCTTAATCAATGATGATAAAGATCAAGAAATGCACTGAACAACTCTCTAGAAAATACTAATAACAACAAAATAAATTCTTGTATATAAAACATAAAAGAGAGGTAGGGAAAAGGCCAGGCCCCACTACAATCATTTCAAAGAATTCAAAAACTTAAGAATATAACATGTTACATAGTAACAACTGCCTTGCAGAATTGCACTAAGTTTAATTGCTCATAGAAACATCCATTTCTAGGTTTAAAGAAAGTGGAAAAACTAAAAATTAAACATAAACATTCCTAAGTGGACATCCTTTCCAATTTCTCTTTAGACAAAGAAGATAAGAAGAGTAGTTAAATGACTACAAACTGTATGTTAAACTAAATATCAAATTTCATATTAGAAACTAATCGAGAAATAACACATATAGAATTATCGATTAGAGGAAGAAATGGATAGAAACAAAGCTAATCACCTTCCTAAAAAGGATGCATGTTCTTCCTTCATCAATATATTAACTAGTTTCAATTTCATTATGCCAACATACACAATACATAAACACTGAAAGATCATATATTGCAACTTCATATAAAGCCAAAAAAATTTTATCAATACATATTTAATTTAATCATACAACTAATCACATGCTAATTGTTAGATCTCTCTAAATTAAAGCATGGAATCTCCATTTGAAGCCTTTCAGCCAAAAAATGAGATCTCACTACATTTGAACTTTTTTTTTTTTTTTTCATTTCCTCCCAGTAAAATTCCTGGCATCTTATAAACACTCCGTAAGAAAGCTAGATAAGTCTATCCTTTTCCATAAACGTATAAATGACCCTAATTAATTACGCAAATGTAAGTGAGGCTTCCAAGAAAGAGGTATTGTCTATCCTCTTCAAATAAAGAGGTCAGAAGTTCAAATCCAACTATAAAAAGAAAGCAAGAAAGAAAGGTTGAAGCTTCTACGGACATAGAATACCAGAAGCTCTAGAGAGCCTTAATCAATCATATACTCCAAGACGTAGGGAAAAATGTACAGAAGAAGAACAAGAAGAAATCAACTCAACTAATAACTTATAACACGCAACAAACGACAAGCAAGCTGCATATATGAGTCCTATCACTACAGCTAAGAGAATAAAGATATATAGAAGATAGTCGTAAGATCTAACCTCCCATAACCCATGTGTAGCTTACTCAGATTCCGTTTCCTCTTCCAGCTTCATGGTGAAAGTCATGTCTGCAAAGAGAAGCAATAGATGGTAAGAGAAAGATGGGAGAGAAGGGATAGTGAGATGGAGAGCTCAGCCTAGGGTTTTTCTTAAGGTTACATCATAGTATCAAACCTTAATGACGATATCAATTCTTATCTTCCATGTAAGCACATCAGATCTACTGAAAAAATTATAACGAAAATGGAAGAAAAAAAAAAGGAAGAAGGAGATGAAGAAGAGGAAGAAACGAATTAAGACAAAAAGAACGAACGGTCAACAGTGGTTTCCGTTAAATCCGGCCGCATGGGAGAGCAGAGGAGAGGTACAAATCACAGTCTATCCTCTCGTTGTTCGGGCCAAAAAAAGTGCATATCCTTCTCCATCTCAAAAGCAACGCCGCCTGATCTCTTTCTTCTCCACCCCAACATAATTTTACCTCTTCCATCTTTCAAATTCATAAACCCCTTATCAAAAAATATCTATCTTTGTTCTCATCTCGTAAACCTAAAAAAAAATGGAAATAAAATAATTAAAAGTTTAAAACTATTCCACGGTCACCTCAAGTAGGAGCTCGACCTCGGAACCAGGCGACCGAGTCTTAGCCATCTTCTTGGGAACCTGCGGAGAGAAGACGTGCACAGAAGCGCCGAAGTTGATCAGCAACTGATCTGACACTTGGTGCTTAAGCCTGACCGTCGACCATCCTTTGTCTTCTCCTTTTTCAGTAAAGCTAAAGCAGATCAAAAGAAAAGAAAAAAATGACAGAGGTAGCTGTGGCTGACAGGTAGAGAAGTGAGCACGCAACGCGAACGGCATTCATCGATGCAGTCTTCATCGTTGTGTGCTCACTCTCTTCTGTCAGCAAACTCTCATCGATCAAGAAGGAGAAAAGAAATTGTTAGTAAAAACAATATAGATCCGATCTTCTTCTTTCTTCTAGGGTTTCACTTCGTCCCTTCTGGTTATGACGCTCCCTCTAGGGTTTTCTTTCTTCCCTTTTTTTTTTCCTTAATCTTCTTTTCTGTGGAACAAAAAGGACGCTACTCCAATATTTATGGATCTCTCGGCCTCTCTCCCCTCGTTTGTGGTCAACATTCGGCGCACGTGTCGTTCGCCCGTTTCGTCACTCGTGACGGAAAGGAAAGGTGGAGATTTAAGCGTTAGAAATGTGAATGATCGCATAAGATTATCCTAATACCGTATTACAAATTATAGAATTTATTTTAACATTAATATTGCATATAAAATTTTATATTATATTAATTTTAAAATTAGTTTATTAAAGTTCAAATAAAATAAAAAAATAAAAGCTAGATACCATTTGATCATATAAAAAATAAAATATTTTAGAAAATTCTCTATTTTAGGATGTCTCCATCTTTATACATGAATGCAAAATTTAAAAGATTAGTGTGTAAACTGTAAAGTAAAACTGCTCAAATATGGAATTATTTTATTAATTTATTTATTTCGTTAATTATGGGAGAGAGAGAGAGGATAAGTTGGGGAGGGAAAATGATTTCCACACGGTCTGCCGCCTGCTGGCTCGTCCGGCCGGTACCATGATCCCATGCATGATTTATCGTACGGAGAACCATCTGCGGTTTCTCAGCCGTCTGATCTACTAAGAAAGAGAAGTATAGCCGTTAAGGTCGTGGTCGTGGTGATCCCCGCCAACTGCTGGTTTCCTTTTTGGGATTTGCGTTGAATATGGCGTGAGCAGATTAGTACGGCTTAGTTGTGGCCGTCAAACCCGAGTCTTCAAGCTGTTCGAATATATATGTGGATCGCATTCAAAATTATTATATATTGTTAACTGCAAATTAATATCAAATTTCAATGCAAAATCTTATCGGAAAATGAAAGGATGCTTAGGCTTCATTTGACAAATTTTTTTTACTAGTTTTTCAAGTACATTTTTTAATACAGGGTTTACTAAAAAATTATTTTAGCCTAAGGGTGCGTTTGGGACGGCGTCACTGCTGCGGTACTTTATAAAAAGTTATCAAATAGTGGTTTGGGGCATTGCGGCAGAGCGGCGTTAGAAAAAATTCGCGGCAGAGAGCTGCTTCCCGGGACCTTCCAATGCCTCCCGCGGTCCGCTTGCGTTCCGCTGTTTCGAAGGAGAAAATTACTAAAATCTCCCATCGGCGCCTTCGTCCCATCTGCACCTTCCGCATCGCTATTCTAATCATCGAAGGTGGAGACGTCTTCAGGAATTTTTCTCGAATCAGCACCATAAGCAGCAAGATCAATAGCTTTCACTGAATATCCCTTTGATAGAAGACAAGCCATCACCTTATACCAACACCAAGCGCCATGGCTGGAGCCATGAACTAGAATGATTCTCATTGGTTTCTGATCACTCATTCTTCCTTTTTTGTTTCAATTACTGGTGATTCTTGTGATAATATGTAGTTGATCAAGCCTTATATGAAGAAAATTCAACATCTACAACATTAAGTAATCTTAGAAAATCAATGGGCTTTGTCATTTAAAAACCTGCTCTGGTCAGCGACCTCCAGCTCAGGAAGAAGAAAAGATAATGTACGAGACAAAAAAACTCTCTGCTAGGGTTTTGCTAGGTCTTTTGTGTTCCTCTGGCTGCCACCGCCTCCGCCTCTTCCCTGAGGGGGATCTCCTCTGGGATGTCCTCCTCCATCTTTCCCCCTCTCAACCCCTCGTCCAACCTCCATTCTTCCTCCTCCACTCTTCTTGAGTTGATATAAGTTTTGTTTCACAGCTGCTGTGTCTGGCAATCTAGGGCTATGCCATTGAAATCGTAATTATAAATAATTTTTATTTTTTATTTTTTGTACGACTTATAAATATTTTTAATAAAAATTTATTTTTTACAACAATA